ATATACTGAGAATTATGAGCTATTACCTCAGAATTGCAAGATATAAACTCAGAATTGCAAGATATAAACTCAATATTATGAGATGTGTACGCACAATTATGAGATATAGACTCAGAATTCAAGATATAAACTCAGAAATGAGATGTAAACTCAGAATTATGAGATATACTGAGAATTATGAGCTATTACCTCAGAATTGCAAGATATAAACTCAGAATTGCAAGATATAAACTCAATATTATGAGATGTGTACGCACAATTATGAGATATAGACTCAGAATTCAAGATATAAACTCAGAAATGAGATGTAAACTCAGAATTATGAGATATACTGAGAATTATGAGCTATTACCTCAGAATTGCAAGATATAAACTCAGAATTGCAAGATATAAACTCAATATTATGAGATGTGTACGCACAATTATGAGATATAGACTCAGAATTCAAGATATAAACTCAGAAATGAGATGTAAACTCAGAATTATGAGATATACTGAGAATTATGAGCTATTACCTCAGAATTGCAAGATATAAACTCAGAATTGCAAGATATAAACTCAATATTATGAGATGTGTACGCACAATTATGAGATATAGACTCAGAATTCAAGATATAAACTCAGAAATGAGATGTAAACTCAGAATTATGAGATATACTGAGAATTATGAGCTATTACCTCAGAATTGCAAGATATAAACTCAGAATTGCAAGATATAAACTCAATATTATGAGATGTGTACGCACAATTATGAGATATAGACTCAGAATTCAAGATATAAACTCAGAAATGAGATGTAAACTCAGAATTATGAGATATACTGAGAATTATGAGCTATTACCTCAGAATTGCAAGATATAAACTCAGAATTGCAAGATATAAACTCAATATTATGAGATGTGTACGCACAATTATGAGATATAGACTCAGAATTCAAGATATAAACTCAGAAATGAGATGTAAACTCAGAATTATGAGATATACTGAGAATTATGAGCTATTACCTCAGAATTGCAAGATATAAACTCAGAATTGCAAGATATAAACTCAATATTATGAGATGTGTACGCACAATTATGAGATATAGACTCAGAATTCAAGATATAAACTCAGAAATGAGATGTAAACTCAGAATTATGAGATATACTGAGAATTATGAGCTATTACCTCAGAATTGCAAGATATAAACTCAGAATTGCAAGATATAAACTCAATATTATGAGATGTGTACGCACAATTATGAGATATAGACTCAGAATTCAAGATATAAACTCAGAAATGAGATGTAAACTCAGAATTATGAGATATACTGAGAATTATGAGCTATTACCTCAGAATTGCAAGATATAAACTCAGAATTGCAAGATATAAACTCAATATTATGAGATGTGTACGCACAATTATGAGATATAGACTCAGAATTCAAGATATAAACTCAGAAATGAGATGTAAACTCAGAATTATGAGATATACTGAGAATTATGAGCTATTACCTCAGAATTGCAAGATATAAACTCAGAATTGCAAGATATAAACTCAATATTATGAGATGTGTACGCACAATTATGAGATATAGACTCAGAATTCAAGATATAAACTCAGAAATGAGATGTAAACTCAGAATTATGAGATATACTGAGAATTATGAGCTATTACCTCAGAATTGCAAGATATAAACTCAGAATTGCAAGATATAAACTCAATATTATGAGATGTGTACGCACAATTATGAGATATAGACTCAGAATTCAAGATATAAACTCAGAAATGAGATGTAAACTCAGAATTATGAGATATACTGAGAATTATGAGCTATTACCTCAGAATTGCAAGATATAAACTCAGAATTGCAAGATATAAACTCAATATTATGAGATGTGTACGCACAATTATGAGATATAGACTCAGAATTCAAGATATAAACTCAGAAATGAGATGTAAACTCAGAATTATGAGATATAGACTCAGAATTCAAGATGTAAAATCAGAAATGAGATGTAAACTCAGAATTATGAGATATACTGAGAATTATGAGCTATTACCTCAGAATTGCAAGATATAAACTCAGAATTGCAAGATATAAACTCAATATTATGAGATGTGTACGCACAATTATGAGATTTAGACTCAGAATTCAAGATGTAAACTCAGAATTGAGATGTAAACTCAGAATTATGAGATATACTGACAATTATGAAATATTAACTCAGAATTGCAAGATATAAACTCAAGATTCTGCAAAGAAAAGTTCGAATTGTGAGAAAAATAGCATTTACGTTTAAAAAAATTTTTTATTCAAAGTTGTGAGATGCAGTGGCGGCTCGTGGGTTTTAAAATAGAGGAGGCACACTGGTGAGATGTAAACTCCGAATTGAAACAAAGTCAAAAATCTGAGTTTATATTGCACAATTCTCTCTAAGTCCGAATTGTGGGATAAAAGGTCACAATTATCTTTTTTATTCTGTGGCAGAAACGCGCTTCCATACAGCGGCACGATTAGGGAGAAAAACTATGAAATTTTTCTGATAAATTTATCAAATGATTTAAAATTTGATACAAAAATTCTTAGTTTGCTGTACTTGCACTTCTCATTACAAGTTTAGGAAGATGGTTAGTGCATGATGCATTTTCAAACACACATTATAAGCGACTCAAAATCACAGTAGATACAAAGATGGGAGTATGTGCATTTACTGCAAACTGAGTCACTTCAAGACACTGAAAACACTGGATCACGAGCTGCTCATGTGCAAATGAACACAGTGCCATGCTTCACTATGAAACACACAGTGTATTTATTTAATTAAATCGCAAAAATTTCACTAAGCCGTATCGCAATTTCAGTTTTATTCTGATTAATCATGCAGTTGCTCCGAAACACCTTTAAAAGTCAAGACGTCTCTCATGCAGACGTGTAAATTGCTCTCAGTCTCAGGATATTATAGCAGCACTGCTACTGAACCTTCATTTGACAAGTACAATCTCTGGGTCTCCACCCACATGTTAGCAAAAGGTGACATACATGCATCGCCTCTTTAGCACTTTCCTGTGTTACATCGCAAGCCGTTGGAAAGACCGACTCAGAGGGAGGTTTCAGGCCAGATCTGCGTGAGTGTGAGTATGCTAACGGAAGCCTTTTGGCACTAATGCAGGTCCATCAAACACTAATGAGCTCGGGGGAAGAGGAAGACACCCTACAGAGTCTTTCTCACCTCCAGACCAGATCCCACATCAACCTGGAGTGGATTCACAACCAATGACCTCTATGTGAAAGTGTGCTAAAAAAAAAAAAAAAAAAAAATCAAAAACAGCTTTCGGAAAGCCTCTGTGTTGCACATAAAAGCATGACAACTGTAGTTATGACTAATAGTTGACAAGATAACTGAACTGTTGAAATATTAGCAAGCCAGACAATTGACAGAAGCCTCAAAATCTGCTCAGAAAAATACTTTTAAAAATGCTTTTCCTAATCACATAATGGACCAGTAACTTGCTAATTTGTTGTAGACTTTTCTTTGACAAAAACAACTTTAAGCAACCCTCTTTGTGTTAATGTTAAGCACAAAATTAAACGTGAAGCAGGGCTTTATGGCATTGTGACGTCATCCCCTCATTACTGATCTACTCCAGTGACTCATCTCAGATTTTCACACCCAGTTACACAGATTTGTGAAGATTATATTAGATGTTTGTTTTTTCCCCCATTCTAAACTTTCACAGTCTCTCTTTCTCCCTTGATCCAACATAATATGCAGTTTGCGTTTAAGAACCCATGATCACAATCAAATGCAGCACAAAAAAAATGAAATCCCCCTTCAGGATAATTAAAATCTTAATAAAAGTGCAAAAATTATTTGAGGCTTATATATAGTTTACTTGGGATTATATAGCTTTTAATATAAAGAATTCAGAATTCTTCATAAAAACCTAAATAATCCAACATAAGATAGATAGATAGATAGATAGATAGATAGATAGATAGATAGATAGATAGATAGATAGATAGATAGATAGATAGACAGACAGACAGACAGACAGACAGACAGACAGACAGATAGATAGATAGATAGATAAATAGATAGATAGATAGATAGATAGATAGATAGATAGATAGATAGATATGCACAAAAATAAAACTTATGTAGCCTATGGGCTTAAAAATAATTCAATATAATTAAATGTTGACAAGCAACATTTTGTGTTGTTTTTCTGTGATTTTTTTTATGTCTTTATATGAAGACCTCCGGTCAAAAGACACGTAGTCAGTGTTGTGGTGGGGCTTCAGGTTAGATAGACACATTTGGAAAAGATATTCGGCACTTCAAGTATTTCCCCTTACAAGAAACAGCTGTTGAGATGAGGCCTATAGAACAACAGACTGACCTGCACACTGGAACTATCTCATCAAACGACAAAATATGTGCAGAAGAGAACCAAATGAAACATATAAGCATGCAAATCAACATGTTATACCACAGCTTGCTTGCTTGCTTCGTTAGTTGCAATGTCTGAGTTTGAGATACGACTGCGAGACCACCAGGATACTACAGCAAAAGTCCCGAGAGACCACCGGCATGCACGCTTCACAAGCAAAATAATGTGCAAAATTAAATTGTATAGATCATACAGATATTAAAACTAACACTCAGAATAAAGCCGTGCTGAAAAGTTCTTGACATTTGAGCATTTCGCTCTTTAAACGACATCTCTCCTCCTGTTTAATAAGCTTTAGTTGCTTAAATACTTATGTGTTCATCATTTACTCAAGAGACCCTCAGCCTGAGTGTGTAATAGACACACATGTTTGGATTGTTAATCAATACGCAAACATTCCACTTGATTAACACTCCAGCACACTTACTAGACAGCACTGAAGATCCTATTCACACTTACACTGACATGATACAAAGTAACATCACATCTGTAAAAGTTCGCATCACGTTCTATACAGAAAGCATGAGCTGCACACATCTGTGTAGTATGAAGGAATAGCGCGTTACCTCTGAAGACTCGCTTCTGCCTTCATCAGTCTGTGTGGCCTCGCGCTGATCCCAGCAAACTCCACTTTTCCCTGGAAAACTTGCGCGAGCGGAGCTGAAAGCCGAGAGCGTCCCGATGGGGGTTCGAGAATTTCCAATAAAGCCCCTCTTTCTCCTCACACACACACACACACACACACAGATGCAGATGCAGAAAGGAGCGCTAAACTCTCCTCTTGTGAATTTTATTCTCCGCTTTGTGCTCCCATCAGCACAAATTCCGCACAAGTTTTCTCTAAAGTTGGAATTTAGAAAAGAGATTCCATATTCGGTGCCGCCGGTTCCCGAGAGCCCAAAGTTGCAGCGGCAGCGCGAGAATGCGAGACCTCCCCCTTCTACCCCTCCTCTCTCTCTCTCTATCTCTCTCTCCCCCCCTCCTCTCTCTCCCCC